ATACTACTAATACATATATATATATATATATATATATATATATATATATATATATATATATATATATATATATATTATATATATATATATATATTATATATTTATATATACTTCGTCACATTCTTATCGCAATATAGATTCATGTTAACTGTATTATTATATGCGCATACACGCGTACACGATACAATTGATGATTATTGAAGTCTGTATGTATGTTTGCGCATGCCTTTGACCCGTTATGTTCATGCAGGTGTTTGGCGAGCGGAGATTGAAGTTTCATGCGCATGTATTTCATCATGTGGACTTACGTGTGTCCTATTTTGTAGTGAAAGTTGTATTTAAGAGGATGGTTGCATGTTTATGATAGTTATTTCATGATGGTGGATTTAGTCAATGACTGCGCATATGTTCGTCAACGTGAGTCGCATAACATTGTCGCCTATCTAATTTAGGAAGATATTTATAGCAATATCATCTTGAGCGGAAGAGAAAAGTTTTTGCTGTGTATGATAAATCACAAGGGCACCATGCCAATGCATAAACACCACGGTATTCGCACATCCGATCATGCGACTTTTCATGTGCGAATGAAGAATATACTCATGGACTGAACCCCACGCAAATGTGTATCTAATTAGTTCATAGTATGAGCGAAGTTACATTATAAATGTAGCTTGGAGAAAGTGTAGTCTGGCGAAAGAGAAAGTCTGTATTTATTGATTGGTATCGTTTTTTACTCTTATCACAATATCATAGTTACACCACCCATGCATACAGCGTTTCAAACTTAGAGAAATATGGGAATGGGTGAATTCATCACGTTAACATCTGCATTGTGAGCACCGCTCACAATATAATATATCTGGCTTAATGCTTTGTTCACAATTCGAGAAAGATATATCGTATCCATTGTATTAATTTCGGTTACAAACAGATGCTGAGTCCAAGCGGGTTGGGAATGATTCATAGCGCAAGTGCAGATTTTGATTTCTTCAAAGCGGGTGTTTTTAGGTATATTTCCAGATTCGCCTGCAAATTGGAAGCTGATTTCTGAGTATGGATATACTGTAGTGTACATCATGATTGGCACAGGTTGTCATTAGTATTGGGTGACTTGGTCTTCCGCCAATGTGCTGTCACAGTGGCTGCATTTCGCTCGCAACACAATTATTTCCATTTTTGTTCTTGTACACTACCGCTCAGATAGGGAACAAGATAAAAACGATTTAATCATTGGTTGCAATCAATTATTTCTCGTCACGTGCAGAGGAGCTGAATCAAAGTTTCCGGCGGCCATGCGCGCATCTCAGTCAGTCGATGATCTCTCTCTTCAAGGCGCTGCAGGCGATTCTATGCGCCGGAAACGTCGCAGTATTGAATCTGGAAAAGCTCTTGGTATCGGTGCTCTTGAGGAGGTTCTCAGACACGTAGGTGTTGATGCCAACAACAGCGGAAGCACGGGCACTACAACCACTCTAAAGGATCACATATCCAAACAGGCGAACTCGAGAGAAAGAGAAGCTCTCAGATCTGCGGTGAACGTGACTGTCCAAGAAGAAAAACCTGTTAAAACTCCAAGAATACAATCTAGCGCTGGCGGAAGTCCGGACAGTACAGGTAGAGATCGACCTTGTCATGTCGATTTAATTGGCATATTTTTCTCTAGCATTGTATCCATATGTAAGCGTATTCTTACAGGTATATATGTATTTAAATGTTGGACTTGAATTGGTGCAAGTCCATATACACTCGAGCAATACGAATGTGTTTACATGTTTTCTAGAATGCATTTGCGAATCATTTTGAAATGCCCTATATAGATTTACACCAGATAAATAAACACCTTGTGCATCATTTATGTGTGCATATGTTTTTATACGTATCGATAAAAGTAATGTGCACTCGTCAACGAGCTTACGAGAAGCAAGTGTTAAATTTTTATTATTATACATAACCCGTTTAAGCATTTCACAGGTGGTTAGCCACCCCTCTCTCCGTATGTTGTATAAAGTTGCTTTTCAGTTCACAGCTATACCTGTAACGTCCATCATATCGATAATCGCTTACCTGACTTTGGGGATAGACATACATAATTTTTCGACACCTTTCATGATCGTGTGCACTTTTCACCTTTCGCAGACTTTGGACCAAGTAGCAAGAAACGTCGGTCCATTCAAGGGGAAGATTCTGATCATCAGCTGACTGATCAAGAAGAGGAGACTGATGTGAATAAGGATAGGGATGGGGACGGGGACGCAGAAGCAGATGCTGATGCTGGCACAGAAAGCGAGAGCGGAGCACGCAAGAACAAGGAAGCAGATAAACCACCGTTACCCACAAACATAGAAACTCTTAAAGTGAAAGCCCTGCCTGACCACTGGAGGTGTAACAAGTCGTTGCCCACAACGTTGACTCTTCTATCGTCCAAAGACATCCCGGACGGCACAAAGGTGGAGGTGAAGGCAGAGATACAGGTACCTAGAAAGTTTTACTATGCACTTGCCTCCTAGCTTTCACTTCGTGTCATCTATTGCTTGCTGAAATATGTTAAGTTCGACGATTCTCTTTGCTAATATCGTACGTGCTGTATAGTTGGTTGCGTTTTGCTTTATAGACGGTTAATTCAATGTTTGAGCCATGCGTACGAACCCTCTTCGTCCACTTTAATCGCAATCTCACTGAGGTCGGTGTGCTTGCTGTTGATTCACCAGTTGCTTGATATGCCACTCTTTTATTTTTTACTTTGCTATCTCAAGCGGGGGACGTTTGGCGAACTTAAAAACAGCACAACGACGTTTAAGGAAAACGAAGCTAAATTTAAAGACTTTCGGTTTGTGGGGCGCAGTGGGAGGGGCCACTCTTTCACCGTGGCGTTTTATATAAAATCAGATCCACCTGTGACGGCAATCCTTTCGCAAAAAGTGAAGGTATGTTGGTTCACATCTAAGGACGTTTGGATGCGATTGCATATATCAAACTATGATGGAATTGTTCAAATTTTCCGAGCTCTGTTGTTCCAATGTGTCGTACGCGTTATTATCTACATAGTTCCAAGTGTTGCACTGTCGGTACGAACATAGCCTATGAAATTCACCAGTGGAGTTCAAAATGTTCACACCCTTGCAGATCACCGTCGATGGTCCCAGGCCGCCACGTACCAGGAGATTATCTGAGACGCACAAGAAAGGCGCATACAGTGACTCAGAAGGACGGCTGGGATACCGGTGTCCACCCTATCAACGAACAGGAAGTATAGGCAATTTAAGGAGTCCTCACATGGTCAGGGTATGCAACCTTTTATTGTATTTCTTATTCCAGCTATTTGATATGAATAGCTCTGGCGTGAGAATAGTGTGCACTTGAGTGCTTTTGAGCTATACTGAACAATACGGAGTCCTGACCATGCTTGACGAATATAGACACTTTAGGCGAATATAGACACTTTAGGCGAATAAAGACACTTTAGGCGAATAGAGACACTTTAGGCGAATAGAGACACTTTAGGCGAATAGAGACACTATACAAGTTGTTTCTGTGAGTGTTTTTTCGTTCTTTATTCGAGTAGCTACTTCGGCAAACACATATATTCATTCTGATATTATGTAATGCCACTGACGTATGTCTTCTACTCCAATCATATCCACAGAGTCGTAACCCAATGGGTGGTCATCCGCACATGGGCGTCCGGAGATACTATTCGGGGCAAATGCATGAAATGTATGTGACGCGTGGGACTTGGTGCAGGTCTCCAGAATTGTCCCTTGTAGTAAAAGTTGTATTTTGTTATGTTATCTCCATATCACGTAATTTAAACAGCGAGAGGTGTGATTTGAATACATTGATTTGTGTACTGCTAGTTTCTCGGATATGCACTGGACTGAGATTTCAGAAAGCCCACAATTGCCATAGTGTTGGTTGGCTTTAGTACGTACTATCCGAGTCTGAACTTACAATTGAGCTTAATCTATTGTCTACCATTAACCAAAAACTCGCCTGCAAATACAGGCCCGTGCGAGACAGGACGATGCTCGGCCAAAATCCGAACTACGTGCCCCCGCCACATGCACAGCCACCACCTGGGCGATTCTCCAATCCCAATATATATAATCTGCAACAATATCCGCCTGGGGGTGTTTCCTATGCTGAACTCCCTAATGGTGGGCACATGGGGCCGCAGCCTCTGATGAATGGCATGTCTAACGACATGATACCAGAACTGGACAGTCCCGGTCACCGAACGGTAGTGGATGGGATGCCTGTGCTGCAGGGTTTCAAGCTAACTAATATTATACCCAGCGAAGGGGTGGAAGGCCAAACTGTGGTAGCAGAGTTACATGTGCACAAGGCGCTTGTAAAAAGGTATGGTGTTGAGCGTTTTTAAATGTGCTATTGGGAGGTGTGAAATATCATATGTGGTGCTGTGCGCATACTGAAGTATGATCCCGTTAAAATTGTGGGGGAATCATTGGATGAATGTTGAGAATAGTTGGATTGTATTGTATGTGAATAATTGGATTGTAATGTATGTGAATAATTGTATTGTAATGTATGTGGATAATTGGATTGTAATGCATGTGAATAATGGGATTGTTATGTATGTGGATAATTGTATTGTAATATATGTGAATAATTGGATTGTAATGTATGTGAATAATTGGATTGTGATGTATGTGCGCTTTTAGTCATTTATCGTTTTTTCGGCAAGAATGTGACGTTTTCATTCGTATATACTCGCAACGTGAAATCTTTCATCTGTGTCGATACTATCACTATCTGACATGTCCGTTCTATCAATCGATTGTGCTGCAGGTTTGGATGGCCGAATATGCTTTTCTGCTTAGCGTTCGGGAATTCAACACCGCAATTCGATAATTTAGATGTTACAAATTCAGGGACACTCTACTGTCACTTCAAAGTGCCGCCTATGAGCACCTCAGTTATTCAGACTGCCGCTTTAGTCAAAATTGATGACAAAGTGTACAGCTGCGACAGTCCCCTGCTATTCACTAACAAACAGCCGGTTAGGCGGCAGCAACGTATGTTATCGTTCCGGTCATTGAGTGGAATTTGTATGCATAACAAACTTTCATGTGTTTGTTGGATTTCCATAGACAACTTTGATGATTTTGAAATGGGTTTTACATATGTGACATCGGCGATAGCGCTTTTTTTTTTAGTGTACATATATTCTCCGGGGACTTCAATGAAATAAGTGTTAATAAGTACAGCGCTTACGGAACGGATGCGCAAGTCCCTGGTGCACTGTATCAACGCTCTGAAATTGTTTTTTCAATTCACGCCCTTCTCATGTTACTTACATTCGCCCTAATCACTCTATATCAGCAGCGACGGAGGCTTACTCGCCTGCAGCGCTTGGAAAAATAATGCTCGAGGTACATCGTGAATTGCAGAGCTATAGAGATCCCTCATTCAGGAAGGTACGTAAACCGAAGCATGATTTGTGTGAGAATTAGATGAGCGGCAGGAGTAGTTAGATTCCTTATTGTTTGCTACCACTGCGATATCTTTTTCTCTGTCTTGCTCGCAATCTAAGGCTTATCGGTCATCTCGCGTGTAGTATCGGGTGTTCGTGTTCTGCATTAGAATACTATTTCCTTGAATTCCGCATGGGGCATGCATAACTGCCATCACTCAGCATCTTACCCAAATACACAGCATATTCGCTCACTACATTTACATTTTCTCTTTGCAGAGCAAAGCTGCATTTCATAGTCTGCAATTGAATATAGTGAAGCTGGAAGGACAGCTTCTAGAACTTAGTCGCCGTTGTTTAGCTCATTTGGGCAGCTTAGAGTATCTTCCTACTATCGACAATGCTGAGCAGGCTGGCATTGTAAGTAGCGTTGTTTCTTCGTTTCGGGCGAGATTTTGAGCTTTAATTTTGAGCTGGATATCAATTTATGCCTTTTACTTTTGTGATGCTTCCTTGTGCTCTTAGTATCGTGCGAACAACCAAAATCATCGTAGTCTAGGGAGTAAATATGCCAACATGGCAGATGACTACTCTCGCTATATGTCGGTATTATCACGGAAGGTCACTCCGTGGAACAAGCCCACATCGTCTCTTGAAGGTATCTGGGCTGATTGTGGCTTATACCTCATTCCACAGACAATTTTACATCTTTCGGGCGAGTTTGGATGGGAAAAGTTTATCCACCTCTTGCTCGAGGCTGGTGCGGATATGACCCAATGTGATGCCCAGGGACGAACGGTAGGAATCGCAAAACTGGCATTTATTGGATGTGTCGGTTTCATTTCCGATGCAGCGTCTATCGTAAATACTTGCACCAAATAAGAGTTGAAGTCTAAAATTTTGCACTCACTCTTGCACGGATGATATCTAACCAAGCTACGGTACACCTTGGCTCATATTTCTTTACTTGAAAATTAAAGTCGCTGTTGTGCTTGGTTCTAAATATAGGTAATGGATTGGGCTCGTCGAAACGATAGGCAATCGACGGTGCAGTACTTGACGTGGCGTGCATCACAGCATGGTTCGTATCCACCGTCACAAGGCAGCATACAAGGTAGGTGGTCACCAATACTAATTCCAGAAATCATTTAGGTATACGCGTTGTGCCTTGTGATTGAATAATCACATCAGTAGAAATTAATCTATGCGTGTTGATGCCATGCAGGTATTGTGCCACCGACAATGCCTGGTCACCCTATAGCTGGTCCGAGGGTTCCCCCAATACGATTCGAGAGACCGCTATTGTCAAATCAACAGCCAATGTTGCGCGCGCCTGAACGACCGCAGAGTACAATAATGGGCGGCTTACTCAACCCATTTAATCGATAATAATATAAAGAATATAGTAATTATATACAGGAAATAACTGAGGCTAATAAAACGCGGCTGTGAAGCCGCAGGGACCGAAAGCGTTTAATCATAGGGGTAGTTCATTTGTTCATATTCAGACCAAAAGTACTATGTAAACAGTAAAATCTTTCTCAACCAGTACCCGAGTACGGACTGTATTCAACATTACACGCCCTTATAGCCATTCGCCATAAAATACACGCACGGTACATGCTCTCACTCACACGCACACGCTCTGTCGCACTCATACTCACTTCTTACTCATTTACTCTTAATCACACTCACGCTCACATTCATACTCACATTCACATTTACATTCAACTTTCAGTTATATATTTACATACATACATACACGCACACACACACACACACACACATATATATATATATATATATATGTATATATATATATATATATATATATATATATATATATATATATATATATATATATATATATATATATGTACATATATATATATAGAGAGAGGTGTGCGTGTCTATGTATGTCAATGTGTATATTTGTATGCATATAACCATTTCTTGCATGTATGTTTGTATTTGTGAAAGTATGTAGGCATTTTATGTGTAGTTTTCTGTGTGCACATGTGGATATGTATATATGCGTATTTTAATGTGTGTATATATGTGTTCAAGTATGTATAGATTTATATGTGTATGTCAATTGCATTTATGTATTCGGTTATATGGATATATCTATGTGTGTAAGTAAATGTACATGTACATATAATCATAAATCACAAGTATGTATATATTTATATATATATATATATATATATATATATATATATATATATTATTATTATTATAAATATAATATGTACAATATGTACATATATATAAATATAAATATATATATATAGATATAGATATATGTATATATATATATATATGTGTGTGTGTGTGGTTTTATTATGCATAAGTGTGTATGTGTGGTTTTAGTATGCATAAGTGTGTGTGTGTGTATGTATGGTTTAGTATGCATAAGTGTGTGTGTGTGTGTTTGTATGGTTCATGATGCATGAATGTGTATGTGGATGGTTCAAAAGGAGGGGGGAGGGGGGCGGAAAGCCCCCCGCCGCAAAACGCCTCTTGGAAAGGGTCTTAAATGGGCAAAACCCATTCTAGCCGGAAAAAAAGCATCACCGACGGTTTTCGCCTTCAGTAATAAAACATATAAAAAGAATACTCTAGCGGTGTCTACAAATAGGCAAAAAAACATTTTGGGCCTATTAAATATTTTGTATTGGGTCTCAAATGGGCAAAACGCATTCCAGCCGGAAAAAAGGCGTCACCGACGTTTTTTGGCGACAGACAAAAAATCGGTGATAAAGTCGGACAGGGACTTAGAAAAGCTTGCGCTTTCAGTAATAAAATAATCATGGTTGATATCATATTGCAAGGGTGATAGATACAGAACTCAAGTAAAGTTGATAGAGCGCTGGTTCTTCAAGCATACAAAGTCAATAGAACACGGATGCTTCCAAGTACATAAGATATACTAAAAGTGGATACCTCATGCCTCAACCAAATCATTCGTATTTTATTCGGCACGGCTTCAACCTAGTTGACGCTTAAGCATTCGAGCGTGAAGTCCAGCGTTCCGTTTGGTGGTATACCCCAAGCCGGGAAGCCTATGATATACACGTCAAGGGAGAAGACGAGTGAATAACCTATCTACCAATGGGATGCAATATCAATAACGATCCTGCGGACACAGGTGCTCTACAAACGATGCGCTCTCAATAATTTTCTGCTTGGAAATCAGCAGCAACCGATAGGTGCTAATCAAGGTTCAGTACGCGAGAGACTTTTTCGAAGAAGTGGGGGGTAAGTACAATAATGATGATAGCAAAGTTATAATATATCGAGAACTCCATTGGAACTAGAAGCACCTACCTTTTGGTCCGTATGCCTCATGACCGGGGATGACAAGCTTGCGAACCTCGCCAACCTAAATAAAAATTATATGCATTTTGAGCTGTTTGTAACGACCAAAAATATCGCTTTGCCTTTACCGTTTCCCTTTTGCGATATCTGTGAATGTCGCTGAATAATTTGAGGCCTATATTAGCCGGTATACATACAACTCAGATTTCGGGTTTTCTAACGTCATGATACACGTAGCAAAGTGTTAACCCACCTTCATTCCCAAGCATCCTTGATCCCAGCCCTTAATTACGCCACCTACGCCAGCCTCTGTGGATCATATAAAGTAAAGTGACTCAGAAACTTTTCTTCGGAATACAAAAACAATGATTTTGTTCTATTGTGCTCTCCCGTACTCAACTCAACGTATTTTTTTTACGACTCGAGCTCGATTGTGATACAAAAAGAAACATCGCAAAATATCTAATGAATGTAGATAAGTATGATGATGTGTAGAAATATAAGATATCCCGTTGTTGAGAAAATTACATCGTAGAAAGACTATCTTGATCTGTATCTGATCAGATCAAATGAATCGTGTGCCAATGCGCTTCGGAAAACAAAAGTAGTACAACACCCTCAGTAAATGCAGGTTGTATAAGAACTCCAAACAGCAGGTTGTATAAGAACTCCAAACAGCAGGATATATTTGTGTATCAGCACAGTGATGAAAATGAGCCATTGAATCCGCATCGAGTAAATCATAACTATGTTCAACTACTTCATGAAAATATTTGCATTGAATCTCGTGAAAACGAAGGTATTGAGACTTCAAGGAGTGAAACGTATATCCATGTACATGTGTATCGATAACTCAAAATTGTCCTTGAAGAAGCGTGCACAGGTGCATAATAAGGTGCATATATAAATACGTCCAGCTATTCAGAATTTTCCTTACGATATGAGAATGGTTTCTGTCCAGGATCCTTGGTGGACCAAAACTTCTTTCCGGTTTCCTTGATCACTCCCGTTGCGTGTACAGTGGCAGTTGATCCTTTGGTGATCTCAGCACTTAAAACACAACGGTTCAATTCCAAGGTACAAACATGAGTAACTGATGATAAAACATTATCCTCATACAAAATCAAATGCGAACCCAAGTACAAAAGTTTGTACGGAAGTGTGTAATAGCAAGTGAGGAGTAAATATACAAATCCACAATGGTTCTTCTAAATGGCACTTCTTTAAGAATCAACAAGTATATATACATACATATATACATATACATAAGAATATACATATACATACACATACACTTACGCATACACATACACATGCTCACACACACACATCCCCACATACACACACACACACACACATACACACACACACACACACACACACACACACATATATATATATATATATATATATATATAAATATATATAGTTATGCCACCGCATGTTTCTTTGTTGTTGTACGTGGGTGTGTATGCCTTTGTATATATACATAATACAGATCCTATTTACCGGTCGTAAAACTTCCATTCAGTACGAAATGAAAATATAAAAAATTGCCTTAAGAGTTATTGTGATAAAGTAATGCAATTTCTCAGCTTGCGACGACAAGACCAGTAGAGATTTTTGACTTCGTTTTACATTTGGAAGTGGTGCTCGAAGTAATCTTACCCACTTCCAGGGGTAAGGATCTCATATGTTGTGCCGTCGCAACCTGGAGCGGCCTGGGAACTCATCTTTGTTTAATTTGGGATTTGTAGGGATCACTCTGTAGAAATAGTAAATACTGTGTGTACAATGGTTTTTTCTTGTTCATACATTATTTACAAATACATACTCGGGTCATTCATTGTTTGCAACAACTGCGATACATACTATTTCCAGTGACGATTCTTAGGTTTCAAAGTGTCCAGTGACGATTCTTAGGTTTCAAAGTGTCCAGTGACGATTCTTAGGTTTCAAAGTGTCCAGTGACGATTCTTAGGTTTCAAAGTGTCCAGTGACGATTCTTAGGTTTCAAAGTGTCCAGTGACGATTCTTAGGTTTCAAAGTGTCCAGTGACGATTCTTAGGTTTCAAAGTGTCCAGTGACGATTCTTAGGTTTCAAAGTGTCCAGTGACGATTCTTAGGTTTCAAAGTGTCCAGTGACGATTCTTAGGTTTCAAAGTGTCCAGTGACGATTCTTAGGTTTCAAAGTGTCCAGTGACGATTCT